TCTCACTAATTCTTTCCATTTATGACTCTAGCTCCTTTCAATTCTATTCAAGCGGTGTTTCAACACATCCTACAACTTTTCATACAACCACATTACTCATCAAATAGTGGAAAACCACAACATTAGATGCTCGCAAGTCGTAATTACCATACAAAACTCATTTAACCAACAATCATTATTATATAATTTCATCTCAATCACAATCCATCACAAACCCCTATTACCATCATGCTCAGTTAGCTCTTGTCATCACCACGAAGTCAACCTTTTCATCAATATGACACCTTAAACCCAATTATACCAATCCAATCCAAAGGACTAACCCACTTTTATACGCACTTTCTTACTAAGATTCTCAATTGCCTTCACATAAGTATACTCTTTAGGACTTCCTTTACCCATAAGCTTGTCATTCAAATATTTATCCACTTTGTTGGACCTTACGATGAAATCACCAGTCCTCATTTAAAACCCTCAGGATACACTTATCAACTTAACGCATTAATATCATATCAATGATCCACCACTAAAATCTTCCTTATACACACTGCTTAATCCCAAACATCTGCAATAACAACCTAGTTGGTTTCTCAAATGTGAAGCAACATTGAATCTCATTATACGAGTATGTGATACAACTGATATCTCTTTAAGTAGTTAGTATTCGTACTTGACAATGAACGTATTCATTTCCATGTACCATTAGTGCCACATCGTGAAAGTCCATTAGATCTACCACTAGAACACATCATACCTACTAAGAAGATTATACCCAAATAGCCCACACATTTCTATCAATTGAATAACTGCAAAACATTATCAAATTCGTTCTGTCTCTAGCCCAAGCAATATGCATTCTTTCATAGATCAGATTGATAGCAGAAGTAACACACCCCATAACTCTAACCAAGTAGGCATCAGTATTGTTGTAGTGGTCATATCATGACCCTCTTAAATATAAACTCAATCTATAAAATCGTAGTAGAGATTCTGACCTCGATTAATACAACATCATTCTCATCATACACTAAACAACCCATACTTATACAACTTTATTAACTGTAATTTCCAAAGTCACACTGTTCATTTCCTATCCATCCTTTTAATTATTCCACTTTCAACTATCGAACTAATTAAGATATTGCCTATACCACACAAGTATTATTCCCTCTATTGGGGTAACTAACCAAAAGAAATAACCACGCTCATAAAATCCCCCAAACATTTGTTCAACATCATCATCAAATATCCTCAAAATGCATCATCGAGTCATCACCTAACTCAACCCCTTCAAATTATAACTAAACATTTTGAATCCGACTACAGATCATTTTCATAAGTCTATCAATTTCACCTTAGTACTAGGTCTAACATCAAAGTCATATACGACACACCAACTGCTCACATGAGGAACTACGCACGAGTCATCATTATAAGTGAGAGTGAATGCAGTGAAGCGAAAGAATCAAATCGGACCAACGACGCATGATAGAAATTCAAAAAGTGAAGATTTTTCTTAAAAGTCACTGTAGCCTCTCCAAGATAAGTACAGACGTCTCTGTACCGATCCTCGAGACTCTACTTAGACTCAGCTTGTATACACGTGAGACCTATGAACCTGGGGCTCTAATACCATTTTGTCACAACCCAAAAATGGACTTGATGGCACTCGTCTTATCCCACAAAGACAAGTCAGCCTAAAACTAAACCATTACAATAAAATGCGGAAATTTTATAATAAACTCAAAAATACCCCCAAAATCTGGTTGTCACGTGTACAAGCCTCTAAAGTATTACAATTGATTCAAAAGAAAACCACAAGTCTCAACTGACATTGTTTCTAGAATAGAACAAGATCATGAATAGGAGTAAGAAGGTCCGCTGAAATGACAAGTTGCTACCTCACAAACCTCCATAAGAAGCCTCAGACAAGGAGAAGAGAAATTATCACAAAGGTCCGGGATAGTAACCTACAAAAATGTAGAAGCAAGGGGTGAATACCAAACCACACGGTACTCAGCAAGTAAACTTCTAAACACAAGCTAAGGGGAGAGAATACAGGTACTCCTTACACACCAACCGAATCTCCACAACTACAACCTACATAAAACCAACCCAACCTAACAATTCACACTTTACATAACACCCAGCTCAACAACAATCACTTTAACAAATTACATATCCTCAACAACAAACTCAATATTCATCAATCACAACTTCCACAAAAAGGCACTCACAATATCAGCAACACACAAGATCAGGTTCAACAATGATTAAAATGTGCAATGCAATGAAATGTAATGTCAAGTATAGTGATGCATGTCTGACCTAACGATACACACCCGTTGTCTCTCATTTCGGGACCCATATGGGACATATTTGTCCATGCATCCATCGCGGCGTGCGTTACGACCCTCGATAATAGTAACCATCGCGGCACGCGATACGTCCCTCAAAATAATTTGTCGCGGTGCGCGACACGTCTCTCGAAATATAGTATCCATCGCTGCGCGCGATACGTCCCTTGAAATGGTACATTCTCTTTAATTTCTTATTCTTTCTCAATTCACATAACACTTGTCACAACCATGTCTCAGAACAATGCAAATGACATGTTCACACAAATAACGAGGAGATGACCATTTAATAACATTGCACAATTCACAACAACACAATCATGATACAACATCAACAATGATTCAACAAGCCTTTCAAACCATTCTCAACACATCACACACAAACAATTAATCACATTGCCTTTTATTACCCCGTTTTCATCATTAGAATTAATCAATGTGGACAAGTCAACTCATCACCAAGTCTCGTTACCCAAACACATATTACAAGGAAATACAAGAATTCTATACACTTAACAAGGGTTTAGAAATCCACTTGACTCAAATAATCGAACAATCATTCCGGGATTTGAGTCTTCCCTTTTCGTTGTACTTCCAACTCAAAGCAATCTATTCACATTAATAATCATAATAAGATTTCGAAACTAACAACACCCACATTACTATAGATCTAATCTAGACCCAAAAAACTCACTCAATTTATAATCAAGTTCTTAAATCTTGATGTCAATTAACATGCCAACTCTTTCAATTTTCTCAAATTTAAAGTCTAGGGTTAAGTCATAATTTCTCCAAAAACTACAACCCTAATAGTTTTCATATAATATAATACACTCAATATTTAATTACCTATCTCAATATAGAAAAACTTAAACTATAAAATTAAAGTCAAGTTAATCACGAAAATCAGTAGAAACCACAAAGGGATACGCAGCAATCTGCCTATCGCAGATTATCCCTAAAAACACAATCTTTAGATGGCTAATCATCACCTTTCTTGATTATACAATCACTGTCCCATCATTATCCAATCATTGACCATTATTGCCAATTGAAAGTCATCACCCAAGTTATATGCCATCAACTAACACGTAATTGGCCCAAGCAATTCAACCTCTCACCAAAGTAGCAAATTAACATTATATTGAATTTATAACTCTAACACTAATCTGACATGTAGATTGAGAACCGTCACTTCAAATTTAAGAATAGTGTTTGTCGTGATTTCGTGCCCATCCGTTCTTGCGTCTGTGAATTTTGTTTAGCTGCAATCGGCTTGTGTTACCAAAAAAAACCTTTCTTTAACTTATTCCAATAAATGGGTCAAGTGGCATATGGTATAAATTTTTATGAACTTGGCCCATTAACCATCAACTCAATTAATTATTTAAAATTACTCACTAATTAAATACTTGTAGTTAAAAGAATAATTCAAAATTCCCATTTAAAATTTACGGAAAGGGTCTTTTATAAAAGAGAGAGGACTAGTTCTCAAAATGACCTTACGGGTCATTACAGTAGATCACCCATACTACAAGAAATCGGATATACTGTGACAACATTTTGTGGCGACTCATTCTATTGCCACTAAATTAGAGGTTTTAGTGACGACCCATCATAATCGCCACAAAGGATGATAGTTGTAGTGGCAAAAAAAAATGTCGCCTCAGAAAATGATATATTAGTGGCGACTATTTTTGTGTCGCCACTCGTGAAATTTTATTTAATAATATATAGCTGAATTTTTTGTTAGTGGCGACGAAGTAAATATCGCCACAACAGATCATTTGCGGCAACTATGTCACCAAGAAAAGTGGAGCTTTTGTGGCAGCATATTAGGTCGTTACTAATATTTTCTTTGATACTGTAATATGATTTTATCGTATATTCAAAGTTTTTTTAATAATTGTAGAAATTCTTATATATTTGATATTTTTTAGTGATAAATAAATACATAAATATTTAAGTACATTATTTTACAATATATCAACGGTCATAACTAGTTAACTGTGTGCGGACATGTCTGCTCCAAACGTTATAATTTTTATATTTTCTTAATTTTAATTTGTTTTTTTTTTGTTTTTATTATGTTATAAATTTAAAATTTTCTTCAAAATTACTATAAATTACAATGATTAACAACTTAAAATATTTATTAGGCGCATATAAAATATTGGTTAACTCTCGAAATTCTATCATGATACATAAATTGGGACAGAAAAAGTAACATATATAATTTGAAATGACGTAAACAATACTATAAGTTAAAATAATTACCAACTTAAAATACTTTAAAACATGTAAAATTTTTGGTTAACTATCGAAATTTTATCATGCCACATAAATTGGGACAAGAAAATAACATATATTATTTAAAATTCCAATGAATTAAAATAATTAACAACTTAAAATACCTTAAAAACATGTAAAAATATTGTTTGACTCTCCAAATTTTATTAGTGTCACATAAATTGGAACAAAATGATTAACATATATTATTTGAAACTTATGTAGAATTTATACTAAAATACAATAATTAACAACAAATATATGAAGTAGTTCAACAAATCTAACCATTTTAATATTACAGTAAAGCCATTTATTCTACTATATATATTTATTAGTTAAATATCATTAGGAATATCTTAGGGTAGATTCACAAATCTCATTTTCCCCAAAATACCATTCTTCGTTCCAAGGAAACCCTATCTCCTTCATACCTTTCCCCGTGAAGTTCAACTAGCGATTTCTCCTCTCCCTTTCCCTACGCCCTAGTAGATCGACTCTATACAAAGAGAATTTGAAGAAATGAACATGAATTTTTGCTTGGGTCCTTAAGATTCTGTGAAAATGGACTCAGGTGACGATTATTCGGAAATCAGAATCATGTAATTCAGCTACTGATGCTGAGAAAACGGGTTCAGGTAATTTTTCTTTACTTCTTTCTACCTTTCATAGTTAGGTTAATTATTTTGACTATTTGTTCCTCTTTCGTGGTGAATATTCTGAAATTTTATAGTTTTATTGATGAGATTTTGGATGTATTTCATGTATTAGTGTTAAGTTTTATATAATGAGTGCTAGAAATTGTTCTCTTATAGATTCACCATATGTTATCCCCAGGGGCGGACTCACGTTGGTTCCAGGGTTCACCCGAACCCCCTCGGCAAAAAATTACACTGTATATATACGGTAATTTTTTGTATTTATGTGAATATATATATTTTGAACCCTCTCAATAACAAGGAGAAAGAGATAGCCCAGTGGCATTTTCCTTGAAAATTAAGTCTCGTGTTGAGGGTTCGAATCCCTGCATTAGCGTTTTATTTTTTTCTTTTTCAGTTTCAGTTTTTTTTTTTTAAGGTTTCAGTTCTGTTTTCACGTTTTTTTTAGTTTTTTATTTTTATAAAACATGCTAAAAGTGTGGTTTTAAACCCAAAAAATTCAAGGGTCCACCACTAAAACTAAATACTACTACTTTCTTGAAATTTTGTTTTGTTGGCTTATATATACACGTTTATACTTTTATTTTTAGAACCTCCTGAACGAAAATTCTGGGTCCGCCACTGGTTATCCCTATTTACAACGCTCTTAGATACAAGAGAAGGGTTTGTTTGTATAGTACTTGATTTGTTTTGTTTGGTGAGTTGGAACATGAACAAATGAAGCATCAAATGATGTCAGAAAAATGTGGTTTAGATCAAGAAAATCAATGGTCTCTACCTTTGTTGAAGTTTGTGTCTCTCATATTTGCCTTTTTTTTTTATCGTGGCATCATTTTAGTCAGCTACACCTCGATTAATTCTCTCTATGGACTAGCTTCATGTTATGTCAATTCTCTCCAACATATTTGGAAAGGGCTACAAAAATTGTGAGTATGAAGCCATGGACTGATCAAAGTGGCACCTCTGATTGTTGTTTTTGCACAAAGATTTCTCATTCTCCAAATGTTGTGACATTCAAAGAAAAATATAATCTCACTAAACAAAAACATGATAAAGATGACATAAAAGATTTCTCATTTTAGCTTTTCTTCAAGAGTCGCTCTAGTGTTTCTTCCTCCTTCTTGAGGATTTTTTTTGTTATGGAGAAGAAAAGTATTAGTTGTTAGAGCAAGCTAATGTGAACTCTTATATATTCAATATGAGTATGTAAATATAATAGAATATTGAATATGTGATGAGATTCTTTACCTTTGTAATTGTGAGTATGTATGTGTGCTTTATGTATCTCTGTATTTTCTCAAGGATATAGGATCATGAATAATCTGTCATAATGATCTCATCATCTGTGTATTAATGTAGAGCTTAAATTCTATGCACTAATAGTTTAAAAGATATCTATACAATTAAATCTCATTAAAAAAGTAATTAACTAAAAGGTGTTTTATCATAGTTTGAGGACGTGGAAGTTCAGGAACCACGTCTCAGCCAGAAAATACAACCAATAGGGATTACCGAGGTATCTCTAGAGACGGGATAATCATGTACTTCAAGAGAAGGGCCTCTACAAACAGGACAAGATGTTCCAAGAACAAATGGTTGCTATCATGACTAGAATGCAATAGGTACTTGTTTTCACCTTCTTTAAAAGTCTACTCCTTTTCTTGACAATTCTTCTTTCTTACTATTTGATAATTATTTTGTGAATTGCTCCATATATGTTGTTGAGTTGCTCTTTTAAATCTGGTTTTCTTTATGACGCATACGAAGTGTTTGAAAAAACTTCTGAAATAAAGTAAGCATGAAAAAACTGTTAGTGTAGTGTTCTTGATCCTCTTTTCTTTTTTAGAAAAGGGTGTTGTTGTTGTTTTTATTTTCAACAAATTTTGTATGACTTTGTTACTATAAATGACTTTCATCTTTGTGGCATTTGAGAAGGATGGAGGAACAAAACCTGTAAGATTGTTACTTTCCATGTTTAAATCTCTCAAAGTTTTTGGATTTCCAATGACTTTTGAGATTTGTCCCTTTAAAGCAATGAAGGCTAAAACCAAAGTAGCAAGACTGAAAATGTTATGAAGAGAAGAAGGTACTAAACTAGTGAAACTATTATTTGTAAGAGAGAGAACTTAAAGGTGAAAAAAGTCCCAACCACAAGAAGCATCATGAAACCACCAATAGGACAAGTGTAGTATTAGTAGTCATGGCAAAAGAAACAAACTGCAAACTGACCTGAGAACTTAAAAGAGTTAAAAGTCTTAAAAAGCAACAAATATACTACTTATACATGAATAGCTAGTAAATTGAGCAGCCAAGTGATTATATTAAGTTACGCTAACACACAAACAGAACTAGCTAATATGGTTTAAGAATGTTATGTTACAAAAATAGATGTGAGCTAAAGTGGGTGTATGAGAAAAGGCTCAAAATGATCCTTTATCTTTGAACATAGATTTAAAGTGATCCTTTATATATTATATGGAGCACTAATAGTCCTTTAAGTTTGCAATAATGGAGTACATTCAGTAGTACTCCAAATATAAACAATAAAATTTTAGTGGCAGCTGATGACATACAAAAGTCAAGCCCATCTGCAGATAGCAGACTTAAATTGAGGAACTGAAGAACTTTGAAAAATTCCTTATGAAGGGACTGCATTCAAGGAATCACCTGAAACATTATATTATCTTTGCTTAGTTTGTTAATGATTCTCAAAATGGAGAATTTTTAAAAGAAGCATTTTGTCGGATACCTCAAACTACCAGGATTGACATAACCATTTATGTATATGAGAAAAAGAAAGTAGCACCTATTTCTTATTGCAAGAACTTGATGTGGCAAAAAAAGTAGGAAAAATACCTAGCTAATGAATTAACTATATGAACTCTCACCTTTGGAAATTATATATGAATCTGAAAAGTGAAACAATGACTATCTTTCTTAAAAAGTTTGTATAATTCTTTCCGGCTGTATCAAGTAAAAGGTTCTTTATCCCTCTTCCTTTATGTTCACTTGAGATAAAGGTTGCAAACTACAAAGCATCACAACTCATATTCTGGATCTCAACATTAGAGTTCTTATGTGGTCTAAACCTTGAGAATTGAATAGATGCTAGTTAGCATCTAAAAATACTTGCTTATAATAGCTCGATCCTTTGAAAACCCTTGAGCATCACAGATAGACCTTGCAAATTACATACCTTTGTTGTTAGAAGCATAATTCATAAGGTGTTATTTTGTCGTCTTTTTATTCAATACTTGTCAAAATGACATACTTGTTAGGCTGATTTTTTTCTTAAAATTTCTTGAGGTTGTCTAAACTTGTACAATTTTAGTATTTCAGAAATAAGTGAAATCAAGTTGGCTTAGTCCTGGTAAGGTGCATATCTCAAGATTTTGATGAATAACTTGTAGATTTCTCAGTTTATTTTGGGAAGAAGTTGAGCTTTAACAATATCTTATGTTTTTAACATGTTTGTAATTTATGATGGGTCTTGCTTCTTTACATGATATATACAAATTACCAAGTTGGTAGATGCTTCTTGAACTTGCTATTGCCTACTATTTATTATTTGATGTCTTTTTTGTTTTCTTCATACTTCCACTCTCAATTGCTTGTGCTTTCTGTATATTGTATTGTGAGCTTCTTCCTCTGACTATAACTTTTGATCCATTTTCATATTTCTTTAAATTTATCTTTAGAAGTGTCTGAACTATTATGTCATTGCTTTTTATAATCTTAATCACTCTATGTCATCCTTTTTTATTATTAGCATTATATTATGAGATATTAAAATGATTTTATCTTTCTTTTAATAACAGGAACAAGGTTCTTAAATAATGGGGCTGCCCAAGGATAAGCCTGAAGGCGTGCAATGAAGTTTTTAGATCAAATGTGTGTATGCATATAATGTCACCTATGTAATATGTAGTATGCAATTGGCTTTCTAGTAGTGGACTTATAATATTCAGCTTGAGGATGCTTTTGCAGTTTGTAAAATACTACTGCTTTTAATAGTTATATATCAATTTTAGAGAATTTTATTGCATGGAAAACTTAGTATAATTTTGTTTGTGATGTGGTTATAAATACCATTTAATGGGGACATATTTTGTGGTGACTATTATTGTAGTGCAACTTGTTCTTTAGTAACAAGGTGAAATTTGCCACAAATGAAATATTAGTTTTTGTGGCGACATATTTCATTACTAAAAGTCATTTTTCAGTAGCGACATGAAAGTTGCTGTTGATAGTTTATTTGTTTTGTGGCGACAAGAGTTGCTACTAAAAATCCTTTTTCAGCGGCGACAAAATAATTGCTACTAAAGGCCTTTTCAGTAGCGATTAAAAAGTTGCTGCTTATTTTTATTAGGTGTTCTGTGGCGACTTTATCGCCACTAAATCCTTCCTTTTTGTAGCGACTTGGACAAATATGTGGTGTAAGAAATATTTTTTGTGGCATACAATTTGAGGTATTGTGGCTACTGATGTCGCCACAGATGGGCATTTATTGTGGCGACTCTCAATTGTCGTCACAAAAAACTTTTAGCTATGGAAGTACTAGCTACGGCTCAATTGTCGCTACTATAGCTTTTTAGGGGAGACTTTTGGGGTATTTGTGGCGACAAATGTCGCCACAATAAGGCACATTTCTTGTGGTATAATTATATATGATGGTTTGAGGCTGGAGATGTGAAACCATTGGGGGTTGATTTAGTGAAGGATGCTCAAGATAAGATGAGGAGTATTCAATCTAAGCTTCTAGCAGCCCAGAGTAGACAAAAGAAGTATGCAGATCATAAGGTAAGAGACATGGCGTTTCAAACTGGTGAGAATGTTCTTTTTAAAGTATTACCCATGAAAGGGGTGATGAGATTTGGCAAGAAGGGCAAGTTAAGTTCGCGATACATTGGTCCCTTTGAGGTTCTTGAATGTGTAGGACCAGTAGCATATAGATTGGTTTTACCTCCTAACCTATCGGGAGTCCATCCGGTATTTCATGTGTCCATGTTGAAGAGATATCATGGTGACGGGGATTACATCATTAAGTGGTACTCAATTGTGTTAGACAAAAACCTCCAATATGAGGAGGAATCGATTGCAATTCTTGATCGTGATGTGCGTAAGCTAATGACCAAGGAGATTAAGTCCGTGAAAGTTCAATGTAATCATCGTCCAGTTGAGGAAGCTACTTGGGAAATCGAGAGGGACCTGCGAGACAAGTATCCCCAATTCTTCGTCGATTCAGGTACTACTTCATTCCTTCTTTAGCCTGTTTTTCCTAAGTTATCACTCGGGGACGAGTGATGGGTAAATTGGTATCTATTGTATTGATCGGGTTTCGTCGTTATAGAAAAGCCAGCGGGGAAAATTTTTGGGCCGGAAAACTTTTTCATAGTTACTTCAAATTTCCCAACCTAGTCCAGATTTGGATGAAATCGGAGTCTTTGAAGTGTAGGGAAATCTGGTAACAGTCGAGTGACTTATTTATGATTTTGATTACATGAGTACTTAGATAAGTTGTTAAGGAACCCGTACGACTTTACGGAATTGAATTCAGGTGAGTAGAACTCCCGAAACCGATCTTAGCGTGAACAGTATTTTCTGAGCGTCGTTTGTTAAAGATGTGTTATGAAATGGGGGTCTTAGAATTATTAAAATAGCTCATTGTTTCGTGCAAGCCGCTTTGGCGGTGGTTTTGGTGGCACTGGCAGGGCCGCTGGACCGCTGTGGCGGGCCAGACGTGACTTAAAGTCGTAAATAAACCCCTAAATGACCTTATTCTACATATTTTGTTTTTTAGAGCTAAGGTACGAACCCCATGCAATTATTGACAGTTTTCCACCATTCTTAAGGCTAAAGGTAAAATTTTAACTCCCTGAATCCATTTTTCGATCGGGTAAAATGTAATCTAATGGGTAAATATCGATGGGGAAGGATTTTGATCTAGATTCTATGGTGAAAACAGCCCTATTTTGGGTACTTGGGATCATTGGTATGATCTAGGGTTGATGGAATTGTTAGTAATTCGGGTAATTAGTGATTGTTTATTGATTCCCGCATTATATTGATTGATTGTAGACCAAGAACAAGCAGAACGAATCCGGAAAGGGAAGGATCAAGTTTCTTAGGGTTTCAAGCTTGTTTGGAGGTAGGTGATGGTTGTGATTCTATGATTGTGTGATGTATGTTTCTTCTTGCATTGTTATGATACATGTATGTGTGTGAATGTTGCATTGTTGATCACAGTCATTGTAAATGAGATAGATGAATAACTATATGCCATGAATCACTTCTTGATTGCATGATTATTGAGAATGTACTTGTGATTGTGATTGTGGTGTGTTGATTGGATCGGATACCGCGTTTCAATTTACTAATTGGGATTGGTTGCCACGTTCTGGTATAATTATGGGATCGGTTGCCACGTTCCGACATAAACATTGGATAGGGTACCACGTTTCGGTATGCTAACAGTTTGGGTTTGGGTTCCATGAGAGGACCAATGACTTGTTATAAATGTATATTGTTGAACATGTGGATATTGTATATGTTCGGTATGTTGCATGTTTGTAATGTTGTATTGACTTGCTTATGTTACACTTAGTGGGATAGCCGTGTGATTCTACCAGTACACTGTGGTTGTGTACATCGCACTTGCTCTTATTTTTGTTGAGTATAGGGCATCTTCAATTCAAGCGGCTATTGACAAACCTCGATTAGAAGATCAGTGATCATTGTTCGAATTCAAGGGTGAGCCAGTTCTTCCAGGCTTCCATGAGTTCTCCTTTCATCTATGTCGACACTTCGGACTTAGACTTTTCTAGTTAGTTATTAGTTCATTAGTTTGGGGTTGTATCCCTTCTTGTTTAGACTTGTTGAACTTTAGATGTTTTAGTACATTGACTTTCAGGTTCTAGGTGTATTTTCCGCATTGTTTAGTTGTTAGATCTTTTGGAAGTTTATGGGAACTTCAGTCTTTAGCTATTTAACTTGCTTCCCTAACTTAAATGCTTTAGCTTTTGGTTTAGTTGTTTGGTTGGGTTGTAGTAGTGGTTCTCCCACCGGAGGGTTAGTGTGGGTGCCAATCACGATGGTCTGGATCGTGACAAGCAAGGAGTGCTTACATAGGCATTTGAATAGGATTTAGAGTTTGAATAGGCATAGGGACATGCTAAAGGAAAGACATCTGATGCAATTTACATAATGGTTTTGGTAGCATAAGTTTACAGTATTTTAATTAAGAGGTATAACATTGTCTTCCAGGCTAAAAGTTTTGATCCCGAAGTTGTTATCTTCTTTAGAGGATTCTGCAAAATTTCTTTTTTAGAGGATCCATGAGGAAGAGTTTAGGAAGGAAGCTTGAAGAGATGAATATATAACCCTAGTTGTAGTTTGAATAATCAGTAGCTGATCTGATATACTAGATATTTATTTTCTAGTTTGCTAGTTTCTCTGGTAATAAATTCTTGTTATTTTTTTTTTACAAAAATAGAAAGTAGGAATCTCAAAGAAGAAAATAAAAGAGACCATGGGTGGACTTACTACTAGATATCAATGGAAATAGATATTGCCAAGGAGTTCGCCAAAAAGAAAATAGATGGAAGAATAATAGTAGAACCCAAAAGAAAAGAACTCAATTTAATCACTATCAATAATAAATTTATAAGTGCATAAAACCCTTATGTGAGACCTAATTAGTGTTGCATCTTTGCCTCCCATGTGAGTTCCTTCCACTTGTTTGGTAGCGAAATAAAATTTCTAAAAATGATTTTCCACTTATCGGATAGTTTTTCCTATTGAATTGGCTTAGTTGGCCTTCCTTTACCATTTGAGATCTCTATTTCATCTTGCTACTCACATAATTCTTCATTTTTTCAAGACCTTTTCCTCCAGTCTTGCAACAACCTTTCCTAGTTCTAGAGGAATCACAGATGAAAAGCATAGTCAGTTTAAAGTACTACTTAAAATAAAAAAAATTACATAATATATATAGATATTTACACATATGCCTGTAAGGCTCGAGATAAAGACTAAAAGAATTGATAATATAGCTTTAGTTTGTTGTATCATAACAGACAACCGAGTTAAGAAATTCAAAAACAAAACAGAGAGAATATAAAAGAGATAATAGCCTCTCTTTTGATCATTCAGATCATTCCCGTTGGTTATAAATTTCACATATTACATAGAATACCGTTAGATTCCAAAGGTGTAGATCAAAACACCTATTCATTCAGATTAAAGTTCAAATTACGCATATGGACAAAATAGGTACCTTCACATATCTAGTTTATATGAAACGATGAAGGGTTAGTAATATAACCAAAAATAAAAATGTTAGACATCACAAAGTTATGTCAATCTCGTATAATTCAGGAAAAAAATGGAAAAATCCACAGTCAAAGATGAGTAAGTGCTAGATGACTAAATCAAGTGACAACTCGCAACCAAAATTTTCAAAATATAATAGAACACGAAGGATTAATCGAAGTTTAATGAATTTTTTTCTAATCAGTGCATATTGTCAGCGATCATCAATTTATCAAGTTGAAATAATCTAGAAGCAGCAATATTTCAGGAAAAGCCATCAGAAAAGAAAAGCTAAATTTGAGAATCTCAAAATTTACCTTTTTCTTCTTCTATTATTAAAAAGAGAATCTGAATCTATTGAATCAAGTAAAAGCTAGTCAGATAAATTGTAGATTTTTAATACTGTTATGGAAATAAGATCCACACCCTCATTCTATAAGATCCACACCTTCATCATATAGTGTGCTCATGTCGTTTCCTTACTTGTCATAAGAAAAAACAACAATCCTTTTGGTGACAACATTAAAGATGGAACAAACTAGAGGCCTATCATAGATATCAGATGAGGGGATGCTTAGCAACTTAAGGTGCAAAAGGGAAGGAACGTTTTTTCAAATCCTACCTTTACTTCGTGAATGTAAAACAAAATATATTCACATGAGGGGAACTCAAAAGGGCTGTTCCTTTTCGAATTTTATATTCCTTTAATGTATTTTACTAGGGACCAAAGTGAATAAACAGG